CTTTCCCCACAGGAATTACAGGTGTTTCTGAAATGGTTCCCGCAGAGGGTAGGAGTGAGGAATATGATAGTCCACAACCAGAATGCCTGATGCATTCCTGTTCTCCGTGGCTTCTGCTGTGTCCTCCAGCCCTCCTGCGGGAATAGTCCCAGCTCCAGTTGTCTTCTAGCCCTCAACCCAGCTGTTAAAAGTTTCAAACTGTGCAAAGTACATGAGGGTATCCTGTATAATAAAGAGCTAATACGCTAATTAGACTGGACAGTGGAATGACCTTCCTGAACGACCAGTGGGCTGGGCTGTGAGGGCCAAGGCCCTTGCACGAATTTTGTGCACCGGGCCTCTAGTAACACATATTGAACTTCTCTTTTTTCTCTGTTGACATTCATGGTTTTCTCAGTCCAATAAGTGCTAAACTGGTTTTCCACTATGACTCCATGACTTGCAAGTATGACACAGTCCCATGGTCATACCAATAATTTTACAAAATCAAAACTGTTTTTTGTGATGTCAGTGTCCCACTAAGTGTGAATAGCCACGTGGTTTTTCCTCGTCAGTTATGGGCTAGGTTCTTGAGCTGTAATTCGAATCTGATTGCATTCTGTGTTTATGTTCTTCATTAAGTAATCAGTGGGCTTTCTTAAAAGTCAGATTTCACAGAAGAAAAGTCGGTTTCTCAATTAGGTTGTCTAAATGTGGGGGATTTTTATCTGTATGTGAAGCAGATTAAAGTGAACTGAATACTCAGAATCTAGCAATAAGGAGTCACACCACTTTGTATTGAAAAAAAAACACAACTAAAGCAGTTTTATTAAAAATTGCCCCATTTCTTCAATCCAATGAAATTATATTACTTTCCTAAGCATATCGGTTATGAAATTTATGTTGGTACCTTTAGAACTATACTTCTGCCCTTGCACGAATTTTGTGAACTGGGCCTCTAGTAACACATATTGAACTTCTCTTTTTTCTCTGTTGACATTCATGGTTTTCTCAGTCCAATAAGTGCTAAACTGGTTTTCCACTATGACTCCATGACTTGCAAGTATGACACAGTCCCATGGTCATACCAATAATTTTACAAAATCAAAACCGTTTTTTGTGATGTCAGTGTCCCACTAAGTGTGAATAGCCACGTGGTTTTATACTTTTATAATTTATACTTTTCATGTGGATTAGCTGTAAGAGAAGAATCTTAGATCTGCTATGTTTGAAGTCAGATTGGAATCTATGGATAATGACTTTTTTCTTTTTTTAACCATGCCATGACATTCATTCCTACCCTCTCTTAATCTTTTAGGGTGATTACTTTTTCTTCCAGGGAATACTGTGAGTTTGTGTTGTCTCAGAGTTTTCTGCTAAAATTCAAGAGACTATTTATCAACTTGATAAGTACAAGTACTAGAAAGACAGTGCCAAAGGTAAATAGGAATTTTACCCTCAAATACTTTAGTATGTATTATTATTTCACTTAAACTAATATCCTGGTTTTCAACATAGACAAATTATAATATAATGTTATTAATGAAGAGGGGAACTATTATCAGTTATGTATTTCTGTATGAAAACTAGGCCAAAACTTACTGGCTTTAAAAAAACAACAGATTTTTTTTTACAGTTGTGTGGGTTGCCTGGGCAGTTCTTTAGCAGGTCTCACTTGAATTTACTTGGGCTCACTCATGCATTGAATTCTGATGATGGCTGGATAATCCAAAATGGCTTAACTCATATCATCTGAGAGTTGGTGCTGGCTTTTAGCTGGGGTACCTTGGTTCTCCTCCAGGTGGCTTTTATCCTCCCTGAGGCTAGAGTTATAGCATGACAGTCTCAAGGAAGGGACGCCAAGATTGCTACATTCAATGCCATGCACTTAATAACCCTCTGTTTGCTTTACATTCGTTGATGTAATGTGGCCTAAGCAAGTCACATGTCCAAGCCAAGTCAATATGGGAGTGGGCTTAGATGGCATCTCTTGATGAGAGGAATGGCAAAGAATTTGTGGCCATTTTCAATCTACAGCACCCCTCCGCCCCCGCGTGCACACACAAACTCATACACACTCATAACCCTTCTAAAAACATCCCTTTTCCTTTGTAAGTAAACCATAATCCCAAATTGGAAAAGTATTGCCTGATTGCTTACCTTGGTGTGGCTAACATGAAAGTATTGTATGCAAACAAAAACAAATGTCACTAATAAACAAGAGTTAAAATGCAGTCATTCACACAGTCATTAAATTAACAGACAGAAGTAAAGATTTATTTATTCCTTTTTAAAATCATCCTTATGATTACTATAGACATTGCAAAGCAAAACTAGCCAATATTGTATTTCACATTTATAGTATACACTGAGTTATCCTCCCAATGAACAGTTGCGTTGAGAGCATTGAAGAGAAACAGAAGAAAAGGGAGCTATGAACTGCACAATGGAGGCTAGAAACGAACTCTACACTCACCATAGCACAAGAGTGATGGCCAAGGTAGGAGCACCAGCTGGGGAAGGTGGAGAGCATCTGATGCAATAAAACGGTCATAATGGAAACCGTAATGATACAAAAACACATCTACATGAGGTCTTGAAATTTATAAAACGTTTTCATAAGTCTTTTGTATTTATCCTCAAGGTAACTACGTAAAAGTATTAAAGAGATTGGTTCCCATTCTGCAGGTGAGGAAGATTCAGGGAGATTGTCCAAAACCACAAATTGTTAGATGTGAGACCTGGATCTAACCGTTTCTGGTAACCAGCTCCGTTCTCGTTCACATGAAAACTTCATGCAAAACATACAATAGAAAGCAGAGTCGGAAATGCGTATTGAAGTTTTACCAAACAATTTATCCTAAACAAAGACACTGATGTCCCTGTGTGTGTGTTTGTTTTAGGTGTAGTTGGTAGCCATCTTACATGGGATAGGACTTGGTCTCCCCACACTTCTGAACCCATGAAGAGAAGATGGGAAGCAAAACTGAAGCAAATTGAAGAGCGAGCATCCCATTACGAAAGGAAGCCCTTATCCTCAGTGTACAGGCCCAGGCTGTCAAAGCCAGAAGAGCCACCATCTATTTGGAAACTATTTCCTCGCCAAACTCAGGCTTTTAATTTTGTTAAAAGCTGCAAAGAGGTAATGTTTTCATCTCCTCCTTGTTTTTAGAGCTACTATAATTTAAGATTTCGAAAAAAAAATCAAGTGTGTCTTTATTTCAGGCCACATAGCATCCAAAAGTATTTAATTGTGATCTAAATATCACATGATTTGGGAAAAACATCCCTACGAGTCATTAGCCATTTCCTTTATATTAATAATGAAAAAGAATGACATGTCTAGTGCCAATTAATTTTTAAAAATTGTAATGACATGTAAATGAAGTGGTGCTTAGAGGAAGAGTGGCCATGTTTGTAGACTGAAAAGTAATAGAATCAGTTTTTAAGAGTAAAACTAAGTACAGAAATTCAAGAAAATGAATGAGTGGCGTATGAGATTTTTTTAAGGACAAAATTAGGGAAAGGAGAATTGAACTTAAACAGTAGGAAATGAAAATGTCTCAAATATTATAGCTTACATTTAATAAGCTCCGGAACTTAAATCATAGTGCCAACGCACACATGTGTTTCTTTCTACTATCTCCTTTTGTGCTTGGGAGTGATAGAGTGTGTTTATCATAACAGTTTCCAACACATCGGGCAAGTGGGAAGACGAGCAGCTAGCGTAGCCTCACAAAGAATGTGATGCTCAAAAATAACGCCAAATCAGATGTGTTGGGTTTTTAAAAATATATATTTTATAGATATTTTACAGAGAGGAAAGGAGAGGGATAGAGAGTTAGAAACATCGATCAGCTGCCTCTTGCATACCTCCTACTGGGGATGTGCCCACAACCAAGATATATGCCCTTGGCCAGAATCGAACCTGGGACCTTTCAGTCCACAGGCTGACGCTCTATCCACTGAGCCAAACCAATTAGGGCAAATCAGATGTGTTTTGCACACATTTGTTCTAGGGGCATTGTGGGGAATATAAAGAAGTGCAGGTGACCCTTGAATAACAGGCTTGAATTGTGTGGGTTCACTTGTTCCTGGATTTCTTCAGTAAACACTGTGAATGCACTTTCTCACCTTTATAATGTTCCTGATAACATTTTCTTTTTGCTAGCTTACTTTATGGTAAGAATATGGAATATAGTACCGGCATACCTCAGCTATACGGGTTTGGTCTTAGACCCCGCACTAAAGTGAGTTTCATTCAGTAAAGCTGGTCATAATCTTTTTGCTGCTGTCGGATGTTGCCTTCAACTTGTATGACACACATCTGAAGGGCAATAAAATGAGCTGTGCCTGAACGTGGACAAAATCTGTGTTCATCGACTGTTTTTGTTATTGGTAAGACTTCTGGTCACCAGTAGGCTATTAGTAACGGTTTTGGGGAGTCAAAAGTTAGACACAGATTTTTGACTGTATGGGTGTTGGTGTCCTAACCCCTGCATTGTTTAAAGGTCAGCTGTGTAATGAAAAGATGCACCTATGAAATCTAGCATCAATATATTGTGGTTCTGATCATTGATGCTGTACAAAAACTCAGTGCTGAAAGTTTAAGACAAGGCCCCTTTTTTGCTGTGTAAGGAGAGGCTCACTCGGATCTTATCATATAGTTTGGGAAACATAAGGAACACTTTTCATGCTTATTCTGTGTAAACCACATTTCAGGTATCAGAAGTTTAAATATTGGCAGATTCATTTGATCTTGAATTAAAAAACACATAGAGGAGTATGGTGGCTGCACTTAAACAATCAACAGCCTATAAAATTTATTTCAGGAAGAAGTTTAATAGGACCAGGCCACTTAGTGCTCCTAGGATTTCTCACTCATGAAAATGGAAGTTTAGTTTCTTTAGGCTCAACAGCTGCCTTTAGCTAAAAGGGGACAGAGGAACTCGAGTTTTCCTTGGTTGGGAGAAGCTTTCTATGGCAGCAGACACAGTTATACCACGTGCCACAGCAATTAACTTAAAGAAGATTGGTTTCTCATAGAAAAGACAATTTATAGTTGCTTGTTAAAATTAAGCATTTTAAAACTTCCTTTAAACTTTTAAGATTAACTTATGAATATTTCACTTAAAAATTGTTTTCCACATGTTTTATATGTACTAAAGAATTATTAATTTATCCCAAATCATTTATAATGTTTAATTTTAAAAAATAAGTTTAATTTCATAAATTAGCAAATACAATTATAATAGGAAGTCAAACTAGACTGATTAAAAACTGATTTTTTTCTTTCTCTTTTTAACTTGAATATTCTGATTTCTGCCTTACATATGCATTACTTGAGTGACTAAAAATAAATACATACAAATAACTAGATTTTGGTTGGCATAGATCTAGAGATTATTTTTCTTGTTTTTAATAATATGTTTAATAAAATGTTCAAATTCCATGTTTAACAATTTGAATAGTAAAACTCTTTATGGACATTTAATAGCGATAGTTGACTTTAGATTTTCATTTTATTAGTTTTTGAATTTTTTTAATTTTACAAAGGATGTCCATGTATTTGCTTTGGAATGCGAAGTGGGCGATGGACAACGTATTTACCTTGTAACAAGCTACATTCAGCTTTGGTTTCATTATAAATCCCGGTAAGTAGTTTGTAAAGGACAGCACATTAAAGTTACATTTCCTTCATCTAGTCATGTTTGTGGAATGAATTCAGACTGAATTAGCTCTGATGGTTCTCAATCACATAATTAGTTACTATCCTTTTACTATTAGAATTGAATTCTGGAGCTTCCTCCTTGTCACAACATTAATTATCTCACCAGGTGCTGGGAGAAGAAAGTGTGTGTGTGTGTGTGTGTGTGTGTGTGTGTGTAGGTTCTGTACTACATGTGCCCCTTGATGACACAATTCCCTCATCATTTTTCCTTGTTCAGATTACTACAAACTTTATATTTGTGGGGAAACCATCCACTCTTCATTTAGCACAAGTTATCCTTTCTTTATCAAGTCAGCATCTATTATTATTATTTTTAAAAGTTATTTTTTATTGATTTCAGAGAGGAAGGGAGAGGGGGAGAGAGGGAGAGAGAGAGATAGAAATGTCAATGATAAAATCATCAATCGGCTGTCTCCTGCACTTTCCCCACTGGGGATTGAGCCTGCAACCCAGGCTTTTATATATATAGATATTTAGTTATATGTAATTAAAACAGCTAATATAGTATCTTGAGATATAAGATCAAGTTCTGTGATTTAAAAAGTATAAGATTCAAACCTAACAATCATGAACTATTCAATTTAGAAAACATCTCTTACACTGCTATGAAGTCATTCCTGAAAATGCTGTTTGCAAGCTCTATTTTGATCTGGAATTTAACAAACTTGCCAATCCTGGAGCTGATGGAAAAAAGATGGTTGCATTACTCATTGAGGTAATTTACAGACTCAGGTTTTTTTCCTTAAATCCATCTGTCTCTCTTTATTTTTATTCATTAAGCGACTCTAGCCTATGTAATATATATTCCAGAAAATATATGCACACCCTAACAGCTGATAACTAACTTAATTTTCACTCATTTTCAGGTTTAACTGATTTGAAATAATGAGTGAAGCCAGACAAAGCTTTGAACAAAGAAAATTTATCCTATAGGGCCACTAGACATTTTTTTTATGGGGATATATAAAAGATAAAGTTTACGGTACAAAACCTGGCAATAGCCGATGAATTGAAGATGCACAAATACCAAACAAAATTATTTTTGATGTTTATGATTCCATTGCTTCATGTTATCAGCAGTGCCTGGACCAGAACAGTCATCAGTTTGAAAACAGGCATTGACAAAAAAATTATTCATTTCTGTACGTTCTTTTAAAGTTTTCAGATGTACTGTATGTTAATAAACACTGATTTTATAATCATTCCAAGTGTATACTTTTTAAAAAATTTTTTATTGATTTCAGAGAGGAAGGATGAGGGAGAGAGAGATAGAAACATCCATGATGAGAGAGAATCATGGATCGGTTGCCTCCTGCAAGTCCCCCACTGGGGATTGAGCCCACAACCCGGGCATATGCCCTTGACTGGAATCGAACCTGGGACCTTTCAGTTCGCAGGCTGACGCTCTATCCACTGAGCCAAACCAGCTAGGGCTATATACTTTTTTTTAGGACACCCTGTGTAGGTTCCATGTTTCTCCTGTTTCTTGCTTCTCTTCCTTTTGACATTTATCTCTTAATATTGCTTCTCTGAGTAAACTTCCAAAAAGGAGGAAGTTCAGTTTATGTTCATATATTTTTTAACATTACTATATCCAGTAAAAAAAAGGAAGCATTGAGAACGAAGTGGCAGCTGAGGAATTTTCTGGTTTTTTTTAAAAATTAATTCTCTGGCTTACATTATAAGTAGTTGGCTCTGGTAAAGATGAGGCAAAGTGAGAATTTACTGAAGAGGGTAGGATCAGAGAGCGAGGGTGTGTGTGTGTGCTATAATAATGCCAAAACAGCATTAATAAATACAATTTGTTGCACGACTCTTAGGTAGCTGGGTGCTTGGCAGTTTACAGACATTTTAACCCTGTGTGTTTTAGTAACTGTGTTTAGCAAATGAGAAGACTGAGGCTTCAGGAGAAGCGACTGGTCCTATGGCTACATGGCTAATGCTTGGAACAGTTCTGCGTGCCAGGCACTGCACTAACTATTTACCCTCGTTTTCTCTTTTCCTCCTTACAACAGTCCGAAAGTTAGGGTCTAGTATATCCCATTTTGCAGTTGAGGAATGTAAGCTTTGCACTTGACCAAAATCACAGAGCTGTTAAGTGGCAAAGCCAGAACTCAAACCTGGGTCTTTCCGAGTCCGAGTCTTGTGCTCCTGACCCAAGCTGTTGCCTCACTATAATGCATCACTGCCCTCAGTCAGTGTCTTCTAGCCTCAGAGACTCTGTTCTTAGATGTGGGTTTGGGCTCAATCTGCTTGAGGAACTTTCTGAAAACTAAAATGATAAAAAACAGGATTAGTGACTTTTTAACTCATAGGTGATATTTAAAGAGATGCTTAAAAATAAATATTTTTTATTGTGATTTTAAAGGAGATAAATGTATAAGTTAAATTATTCAACTTCTAGGAGGACTTTAATCCTGAGAGTCTGAATTTGTAAATATAAATATGTATAATTTAAAAATATATAATTTAATACATAAGTAATTTGGTAATATTGTATAATATATTCTGATAGTGAATCAAAATAAAAAGTGAGTAAAAAAATAATGAATTATATTTGTACCAAGATATTTTAATTTTGCTCATGAAAAACATTTAAAAATATTTATATGTTTCTTGTGTTTTTAGCATGTTTGTAAAGCACTTCAAGAGTTATACAGAGCTAACTGTTCAGCTGAAGATGTTTTAAACTTAGATTCTAGCACTGATGAGAAATTTAGCCGCCATTTAATATTTCAACTCCATGATGTGGCATTTAAAGATAACATTCATGTCGGTAAATATACTGTTTTTTATTTTATATTTATTTGTTCGTTTATATATTTGTATTGATTTCAGAGAGGAAGGGAGAGGGAGAAAGATATATGATGATGAGAGAGAATCATTGATCGGTTGCCTCCTGCACACCTACTGGGGATCGAGCCTGCAACTCTGGCATGTGCCTTGACTGGGAATTGAACCATGAGCTCCTGGTTCATAGGTGATGTTCAACGACTGAGCAACACTGGCCAGCCAGTCAAGTATACTATTTTTTTAAGTCATGGAGCAATAGTAAAAGTTCATATTTCCCTTTTTTTCTTAAGTTATGCATTTATCAGTTTTTATAGGTGTTAACCTGTCCTAAAAAAATGAAACATGAGTTTTCACGTTTTTAGGCTTTGCCTTTAATTCTAGACCTGTCTTCCTTTTCTTGACACATTTTGGACACATTAGCCTGCCCAGGATATTCTTGGTATTGGTGTCTTCGGGTGTAGATATTGGGGTGGCCATTCAGGCCCTGGTACTGGTTTCTGCTGCAACAGGAGTCATGCAGAAGTTTTCTGGTTGGTACATGAGAGTCCTAATTCAGGTCTGACCCATGAGGCCTCAGATCTGGATTTCTGATCTTCGCTTCCGCCTCAGCTTTTAGTGCCTGAGAACTGGGGCTTGGTTTCCAGGTTACACCTCGAAGTCTGGTTCATTGCTCCAGACCACACCTTAGGGTTCATGAGGGATCTAGATGTATAAACCTGAAAATGTAACCAGCGTACTTGTTTCAGGATTGTAAACCTAGAAATAGAGTTCCAGGTATAAAATGAAGCCAGTCCAAAGGGGAACAAGTGGGCAGAATGGGGACACAGAAAACCAAGGTCTAAATAGAAGTCACTGTCCTGAGTGTTTATCGGACAGGGCAGAGCAGGCAGGTGTTCCTGAGTTCAAACAGCAGACCATTCACTGAAGTTCAAGGAACTGGTAACCCATTTCAGATGGACAAGTGCCTGACAGTTTCCAGGGTAAAAGACATGAACATAATCACATAAGCACTGGAATGTAAGTCAGGACCTAGTGTACTCTGTGCCAGGGCTCCTATTATCCTCCTGCGTTGTTAGCTTAGTTGTACAGTGATTCTCTGCTCTCTCATTCCTCAGGTGGTAGTAACTGTAGAATCCATGCTTGTCCCCTGTTAACCTTGATGGTCATTCACTGTCATGTCTCCAGTTACCATCTCTGTGTTGATGACTCTCAAAACTTTTTCTTCAGTCAAGATTATTGTTCTTGACACCAGACCCCTACGGTCAGCTTCAAACTCCCCAGGACCGAACACCTCACCTTTCCCCTAAAACTTGCTGTTTCTCCTGTGGTATGTATATTGGCGAGTGGTGTCACCATCCATCCAATTACCCAAGTAGAAGGGGTGTCATCTTTTACCTCTAGATGCGTTCCAGCTAGCGTCCTGTTCAGTCAGCTAGCTACAGTGATCTGCTTATGCCACTGGAGTGCCTCAAACCCTTGAAGCATAATCCGCTGCCTCCGGAAAAAGCCCCCGTCTTAGTTTGCACAGTGAGACCCCTGTGCTTTAGCCTCCTCTCTGATACCTGGCTCTTCTCGCTCTCCTGGGTTCCCGCTGGGCCATGTTTTCTCCAGTCCCGGGGCCTCTGCGGTCTCTGATGCTGCTGTCTGCGTGGGCCTGCCTCCAGCCTGGTGTGTCAAGACAGCGTAGAAATCCTCACCTGAGAAGCCATTTCTGTGGAGCCTTAAGACAGGCTCGTGTTCCTCTGGGTCGCAGGACTGCCCAGCGCTTGTTGCGTCAGAGCAATCACCACTTCCTGAGGCAGTTTCCTGATGGTTTTGTTTTTGTCTATTCCACCTAGTTCTACTTGAGGGCAGGGATACTGTTGACTATTGTATTTTTAGAGCTTATTACATAATAATATCTTTATCAATAACAATAATGGGATAGTAGCAGAAGCAACAATAATAAGTACTAGCAGGCATTTAATAAACTTGTTGAATGGATGACAATATTAAGTGGGCTCTGCTGTCAGGCATGGAGAGAGTCCTAAGAAGATATTTCCTTGATTCCTGTTTGCTCCTCATAGTTGGCTCTGACTCTGCCACAGGCTAAATTGAGAGGTGTTGCTAGGGAGAAAGGGAGAACAGAAGTGTGACATGATTAGCAGTCTCTACTGCATGTCTCTTCTGAAAGCAGGTGCATTCAAGCTGGGCTTAAAAATGTCAGCCTGTGGACGAAGGGAAGAAGGGCTTTGCTGTCAGCATAAGCAGAGGGGTAGAGATGGGCGTCTGTGCCTGGTGTGGGGAGCACCGGGAGTCTAGTGTGGCTGGAGAGGCCTAGTCAGACCACAGGGTTCTCTCCTGTGAAGTGACGGACCGCCAGCACCAGGGATGCAGGGATTGTGGATTAGTCCACATCTCCCCTTCAGTTCCCTCCTCCAATGTATCTCTTGGTGACATTTCTAGTTCCTGTTGTTAGCTTTTCAGAAAGGGGAATTAGGGTAATGTAAGAGATCACAAAATGCTCACAACATGTATACATTGGATCTCTTGCCTGCGTGGCATAGGACCTTGAAATTTCTGTGATTGATAGGTTCTTTTGAGTTATTTCCAGCCATAAAGTTGTTCCTGTATGAATGATGAGGTGAGGTGATACTATTGGGGAAGGGAAGTCTAAAGCAGAGTAGTTTCCTGGGATCCCGTGTTAGTATTTATATCAGTTACACTGTCACTTCCTGGCCCTGTTAGCTCCTTGCCAAAGGTCAAAGGTCTGCAGGGCCTCCTGAGCGCTGCTCTTGCACCTGGTTCTTAGCCATGGCTCCACTGCTCTTAGTGCTGCTCACTATCAGGGGGATGTCATTCTGCATTTCCAGAAAAATTAACTCTTTCCTTTTATATTTGCACTGGAGGCCCAGTGCACAAATTTGTGCATGGGTGGGGTCCGGCTGGCCCGGCCTCAGTCAGTGGATGAGGGCCAGGCCTGTTGGGAGGAGGAAAAGGCGGGAGGTTGGCCAGCTGGCCCGCCCCGATCGGGGCAGATCAGGCCCAGCCTGGCTCAGGGGAGGGGCCGTGGGCGATTGGCTGGCAGGCCCCCCTCCCGATTAGGGTGGAGGGACCGATTGGAGGCAGGGCTGGCTATGGGGAGGGGTCTGTGGGGGGGGTTGGCCAGCTGCCCTAACCTCGAACAGGGTGGGAGAGGCCGATCAGGGGCGGTGCCGGCTGGGGGGAGGGGCCGTAGGGGTGTTGGCTGGCCGGCCCCACCCCCCAATCAGGCTCGTTCGCTGGCTGCAATGGGCGTCATAGCGATCGGTCGTTCCAGTCGTTACAGTTGCTGGCTTTTTATATATATAGACTAGAGGCCCGGTGCATGAAAATTCATGCATTTGAGGAAGGGATCCCTCAGTCCGACCTGCCCCCTTTCACAGTCCGGAAGCCCTCAGGGGTGGGAAGCAACCTGGTGATCAGGGGAAGGCAACGCTCCCCATCACCCCTCCGCTGCTGCCACTACCGGCAGCGCAAGCCTCGGCTGGCCCTGGTTGCCTTAGCCTCAGGCGGCCCTGGGTGGCTGGGCAGCCGCCATCCAAGGCTTGCCTGCGCCTTGGGCCGGCCTTGGGGGGCTGGGGGGCTGAGGTGACTGGGCCCCGCCATCTTGTGGCTGTGGGCGCCGTCATCTTTGAGGGCGTGGCAGTCAATTAGCATATTCCCTCCTTATTAGATAGGATAGATTGCTCTGTTGAACTTGGGCATATCATGCTTTCTCCTCACTCAGTGTTTACCTAATCTCCCCTAATCCAGAAATAACCATGTCTATTTATGATTGCAAGGATCAAATGCTTTTGCTTTCATTTTTGATGTTTAGTGTTTATAAGACAGTGGATTTGTTTCTTTGAGTAGGGAAGTAATTAAGTCTAATTTGGAGAAAGATTTTTTTAATGCAAAGCATGTATATCTTATATAACTTAAGGTTCACGCTATCTGGTAACTAAAGTGACAAACTCAGACTACACCAGTTTTAAAGATTAAAATTAAAAAATGTTTACAGCATTGTATTCTCTAATCTAATTTACATGAAGCAGCTTTACCAAATTACTTGATTTTATGGTATAATAAATAATAAATGACAGTTTAAAGAAGTGCCAGCTTCAGATGGACGAATCTCAGAGGGGCAGGGGGGTATAGGGGGAGATTAACTGGGGAATTTATATACATGTATATAGCCCATGGACACAGACAATAGTGAAGACTTGGGAGGGGTGGGTGTGGGGTAGAGAGGGTCAATGGGAAAAAAGGGGAACATCTGTAATACTTTCAACAATAAAGATAAATTTTTTAAAAAGACTGTTACTGAGTGTGTGGGAAAAAAGGGGGGGACATCTGTAATATGTTCAACAATAAAGATAAATTTTTTAAAAAAAGTTCCAGCTTGTCATACTGTCTATTCTTGGTACAGATAGTACCGCTGATATTTAGAGCTCTTAGACTAAAGGTGGAAATATACTGAATGTATTTAAGTGTTTTAGCTCTGGACCTTGGTTCTGAGGCCACGATCATCAATGGCCAGGCACAGGGAGAGGTGGGAGAGCATCAGTGGGCTGCTGGGTGCGTGTCGGCGTCCTCGGGCCTGCCGTGCAGGAACCGGGCTGATGCCTGGCCCGGGAGAGGATGGCAGTCCTCCGGTGTTTCTGTGCATGACCTTGGCGGCACCACTTACTCATAGGAACTCTTCATTCTTTCCGGGGGATAAGATTTCATTCTTTTTGAAAAGAAAAATAAAAACTTCCATTCTTTAATCATGGATTGTGAAGATACATTTTACTCAATTTGTATTAATAAAAGTTGAGTGTTTTGGTGAATATAGGCTCAGTCCTGTATTGGCAACATTGACACATCTCACCTTAACCTTCTCCTGTAAGATGGTTTTTACAAGTGACATCAGGTGCCGGGTCAGCGTGGACTGAAAAAGTTCAAGATTTAAAAAAAAAGAAGAAAAGTTCAAGATTACACAAGAGGAAGAAAGTAACAGGAGAGGCATGTTCCAGTTTGTAGTAACAATGTGCTAAAACCAAAAGTAAAAGGAGCCTGGCAGTGTCCAAGTGGGTAGATTTGGGCCTAGATCTTAAGTTACAGTTTGTGAAAAGGAAGAATTAGATTAATCATAATTTTTTTCTTTAGGTAATTTTGTGAGAAAGATTTTGCAGCCTGCTTTTCATTTGATTGCCAGTGGAGATGATGAAGATGATGGTGGGATTCCAGGGACAACCGGCCAAGCATTTTCCCATTTTTCTGAACCACCAATTAAACGGGGAATTCCCTTCCGTGAAATGTCCACAGATGAGGAGATAGGAGAGAGCTGGACGTTGACTACCAAGGCCCCGGAGAGGCTGGGGTCCGCCGAACGGAGCGGCCCTGACCTTTCCTTCTTAGTTGTGAAGGATCCTGCAGGGAAAAAGCGTCTTTTTGTAGACCTAGGTGAGTAACATCAACAGCTCTGTGGGACTGTCCTTGTGCACTTCTGTCCGTGCCTACTGCCACCACAGGGACCGTGGGGTCACCAGCAGAATGTAGTCAGGAGCTTGAGTTGCTGTTCAGAGATCTCAGAGAGGTCCCTGTAGGACAGAGCGCCAGGCTTAATAGTACAGGGCAAAATTTTTTTAGAAAACATTTCTATTGAAGTATAACATTTAGACAGAAATATGCATGATTTGTGAGTGTACAGGTCAGTGAGTTACCACAAAATGAACACATCCTGTCACCACACCACCCAAGACAAAAAATAGAAGGTGGCCAGGACCCCAGCACCTTCCCCTTCCAGGCATTACCCCCTCCTCTGCAGAGGTAATCTCTAATCTACCCTTTAATACGAGAGAGAGAGATGGAGAGATGGAGAGATGCTGGATGTTTGTGTGTTTTTTAAAGGGGAGAATGATGATTTTTATTTTTTTTTAAATATATTGATTTTTTTACAGAGAGGAAGGGAGAGGGATAGAGAGTTAGAAACATCGATGAGAGAGAAACATTGATCAGCTGCCTCCTGCACACTCCCCACTGGGGATGTGCCAGCAACCAAGGTACACGCCCTTGACTGGAATCAAACCTGGGACTCTTGAGTCCACAGGCCGACTCTCTATCCATTGAGTCCACAGGCTGACGCTCTATCCACTGAGCCAAACCGGTCAGGGCTATGCTGGATGTTTTGATGCCTCCCTCTTTTCTATTTGGCGTGACAGATCATCACCGTCTTGAAAGCTCTCCCATAGCCTCAGACTTTTTCCCCTAACACATTTTTCCAGCTTTTCTGCTTATTTATTGAGGAGGATTGCCTCCAAAACACTCTAGTTTGCTATTTCTGGATGTGACATTCTTTCTGGCCATCTCCAATTTATTTTAATTTATGTGTTGCTTTTGCTTACATCTGGTAAAATGTAAAATGTATTTTTAAAAAATATATTTTTGTATGTATTTTTATCCTTGAAGGTGATTTTATTCACCTTCATTTTATTATTTATTTGAATTAAGGTATAATTGACATACAACATTAGTTTGAAGTATACAACATTAATTTGAAGTATATAGCATAATGATTTGATATTTGTACATATTGCAAAATAATCACCACAGTGAGTCTAGTTGACATACGTTTCTGGACATAGTTACAGAAATTTTTCTTTCGTGTGATGAGAACTTTTAAGATCTACTCTCTTAGCAGCTTTCAAATATGCGATACAGCATTTTTTTTTTATATATTTTATTGATTGTTTACAGAGAGGAAGGGAGAGAGACAGAGAGTTGGAAACATCGATAAGAGAGAAACATCGATCAGCTACCTCCTGCACATCTCCTACTGGGGATGTGCCCGCAACCCAAGTACATGCCCTTGACTGGAATCGAACCTGGAACCCCCCAATCCGCAGGCCGACGCTCTATCCAATGAGCCAAACCGGTTTCGGCAACGATACAGCATTTTTTTAAAAATATATTTTTATTGATTCAGAAGAGGAAGGGAGAGGGAGAGAGAGACAGAAACATCAATGATAACAGAAAATCATTGATTGGCTGCCTCCTGCATACCCCCCACTGGTGATTGAGCCGCAACCCTGGCATGTGCCCTGACCAGGAATCAAACTGTGACCTCCTGGTTCATAGCTCAGTGCTGAGCTACACCAGTCACGCTA